AGACAGAGAGAGAGAAATCACCCCCTAGGGGGATGGCCACGTGGCAATCCATTCTCCTCTCGGGATCTTGGGCACGCATGCACACGAGCCCGGTGTGAGTTTTAAGCCACCAGGTCCGGGACGCAAACCGTGGTCGACAACGTGGGAGTCCAGCGACATAGCCATTACGCTAACTGCTGGTCCCAATTTTTCTACAACTTTTATGTTTTTATAAAATGACATGAGTATTTCAGAAAATGGTAAGACAACATAGCGACCAGATGAACCAACAAGAAGGTGGCGCCTGCCACATCCCATCAGGCTACATTCCTCTTAAATTCAGTAACGTTACCTTTCTGGTAAGAGGTACCTCTATAGGCACTGGAATCACTTCTGCCAGGAGACAGCCATAAAAAGCCACCATAAACATGACCGGATCATTGTTGGGATAAACCAGGGCTACCTAAAATTCATTTAATAACAGAAAAAAGGACATTTGATAACAGAAACAAAAGCGCACGCACACACCAAAACACTTTCAATTTTATTCTCTAAGACACAACATTTATCATGAACACAGTGAATGAAATTATTTAACAGCCATATGCTTTAGGGAAAATTAAGTTACTGAGAAGGACATGCAACTCTAAAAAGGTCTCCACCATGCCTATGATTGCAGTACCCATTCTGGGAATTATAATACAATGTGTCATCATCATAAGAATTTTTCGCTTATTCTATTGGTGATTAATTAAGCAATAAACAACTCACCTTTAGTGTTAATTACTTAGGAAACCTAAGGCAATTCACTTTAAAGCAGGGCTAAAGTAATAAAATAAATGGAATGGATCTCTAGACAGAACAGTATGGTATGAAGCAGCCTCACCTCTCTCAGAGAGAGCCTACAAGTGTTGATTTACTTGATCACTTCTTAGGGCTAACAGACAGCTTATTACTCTGCAACTAACTCACTGCATCAATCCTTACCCAACAATGCAAGTGTTCTAAAAATATCTGATGATATGTGTAAGCAATACTGGCAGAAACTATTACAGATATAAAATTAATTCACTAACAAAAGCTTAACAGTAAAGCCTCCATAGCATGTTAAATCCTGGGCTGAATCCATACTTAGTGGTTAAGGGAACTAGCTCCCACATGGCCAATAGTAATTCAAATCCCAGCACTGATGGCTCGAAAACCATCCAGGTGCATGTGCACGTGTGCACAAAATCTTAACAGGATGGTGAAATGGAGAAAGCACTAGGGCATGATCATGCCCTGTTGGGAAGTGGTTTTTTTTGGCGAGAACATGTACCTTCTTGTAATTATATATATAGATATATAGATATATATATAGAGAGATAAGTAATATATATAGCATTTTAACTTTTAATCACATCACCAGACTCCTGTTTTTCCTTTTGTTTTTAAATTCTCTTAACTAATTCCCAAAAGATGTTCTATTCTGAGTCTTAAATTTTTTTTAGGATTCTAGAAAATACTAATTAAACGAGATATTTTTAAAATTTTGCCAGAGGGCATCTTTGCTCACAGAAACAGAAGACAAGAGAGAGGGAGTGAAAATGAGAAAAAGTACCCCTCACTGAGGTGTGATCACACTACGATTTCTTTTCCTTCGTCTATCTACTCTGTTGGGATTTTGGGCATTCATGCACACATGCCTGGTGTGTTCTGCAAGGTGCTGGGGCCAGGATTTGAATCGTGCAATCAGTTATGTGAGATCCGGCTCTTTTAACCAGCCACAGTGCTGGCCCCTTGACAAGACATTTAAACAAACCATTTCCTTCAAGTAAACAATGTCCATTACTAGGTAGACACAACATCACCTTCTTGGGGTTCGGCAAAAACTAGGAAATACTCATGTATAACATTTATAAGAGGACTGCAAAAAGTCTATGGAAAAATAGGATTAAAGTATGAGTTTATTTTGGTACCAAAATTTTTTACACTAAAATTCATGCATAGTATTTTTTTTTTTTTTTTTCCTTGACTTAAAGAAAATCTTTTTTGGTTTACAAGTGGAGAAATGCGAGATCATCCCCTAGGGAGGATGGCCATGCTGCAATCCATTCTCCTCTTGGGCTTTTGGGCTTTTGGGCATGAACACACACACACACCTGGCATGTTTTTCAAGCTGCTAGATACAGGACTCAATTGCTCAGTTGCCCATATGCGATTCAGCTGCCTTAACCACTATGCCAATGGCTGGCCCTAAATCATATTTTATTTCCAAAGGGCATGTGCTTGCCAGCAAGTGTGTGTGTGTATGAGAAAGAGAGAGAGAGAGAGAGAGAGAGAAAGTACCCACCCCCTAATGGGACATGGTCACATAGCAATTCTTTTTTCTCCCTTTCTCCTCCCCATCATGATTTTGGATCTGCTCACACATTCCTGGCATGTTTTTGAAGCAACTAGGGCCAGGATTCAAAATGGTTGGCCCAATACACAGCTCTTGACCATTACACTACAGGACAGCCCTATAGTTTTTCTTAAAATATGTATTTTGGGGGGCTGGCAGGTGGCATGATGGTTAAAGGTGTGCTAGATTCCCACAAGACCCACTGCAGCTCCAGTCTTGGACCTGGCGGCTTGCTTTCTTGCTTTCTCTCTCTTTCTCTCTCTGTCCCTCTCTGGCCAAATTAAAATAATTCAATAAATCAGTAAAGTTAAATAAAATAATTATTTAAAAAATATGTATTTTTAATGAACTCTTTAAAAACCCTGTGTATAAGTAAAAGCCATCCTTTAAGTTACCTTTACCACAACGCAAAAGTGTTTTTTAAAAGTTAAAGAGATTCTGTGTTCATGAGCCTACTAAAAAGAAATGTTGTGTAGTTGGTATTTCATTCTATAATTTCCAAGTGAAAAACAATGCTTAATGGTACGAAGTCATCACACTTATAAAGTCATTAGTATGAAAGCAATCTTCAAAAGTTAAAAGAAAATTATTTTAAAATTTTAATGAAGTATTTTGTGAATAAAAAACATCAAAAGATAAATTTGTTGCTATCTTTTTATTGACTGGATATTGAAATATTTATTTCTGGAAGACTTAGGTTTCTTTTTCTTATTTATTTAATTTTATTTATTCATTCATTTATTTTAATTTGACGAGAGAGAGAGAGAGAGAGAGAAAGTGAGAAAGGAAGCTACCAAGCTACCAGGTCTGGGACTCGAACCATGGTCAGCCATATGGGAGTGTCCAGCACCTTAGCCACCATGCTACCTGCTAGTTCCCAGGTTTCCTTTTTTTATTAGCACCTCAAGAGTTACTGATTGGCAGCTACAGAAAAGGACATGAGAATTTCCTACAGTCTGTGAATGCAAGAATTATTACCTGCCATTAGGCTAAGCTGGGTTGGAACTAAATCATTTTTATACGTAAAAATGGAGTTATATAAATTTTCCTGCTGTGCATTAAAAATCTAGAATGTGTCTACTAGGACACAATAAACACTATTTCTCTAAAATCAAAAGGCCAATTACCCTGTCTCCAGGTTTTAACACAGGCTCATTTTTGGTCCCCAGTTTATTAAGCAGTGTGTAGGCCAACTTCAAACTTCTGCTCCACAACTTCCCTGGAAAAAGAAAAGAAAATCATCATGTAGGAAATATGCAGACTTACTTCAGCGAGAGAACATTAAGTTCATCAGCACATTTAAGACAGTGGCAACTTCCAAGTGATATGTCACAAGTATCATCCATTCCCCACGGCACAGTAAGCCCCCCGACAAAAGCTTTCTACTCTTCCTCATTTACAAAAGCCAGCCTTGCTTTGAAACAAAAATAAAATAGCACCAGATGCTCGTCTGCCTTTATATAATATGCCAAATTCTTTTCTGAAGTAATCTGAATATCCCTAGGAATAATGTGATGTGAGCTGATCACATCATATTTTTCCTAGGGATATTCAGATTAAAGGGAGTAAAACCATTTTTTTTTTAAAAATCACTAGACTGAAATCCAGAAGACTACTGTTTTCAGCTTTTTCTGTAGAACCACTTACACGGGCGGTATTAGATACCTGAGATAACTGTAAAGCACAGTTATGACTCATTCGACCATCCTATATCACCATAATTCAGCAGAAATTAACTATGTAACATGTGGATGTATTCGTAAATGTTAAAGGAACTTGTGGGTCAGGAGGTGGCGAAGTAGTTAAGGTGCTGGACTCCCACATGGCCTGTCACAGATAAGAATCCTAGGTCTGTCGGCTTGAAACTCATGCTAGTCACGCATGTGTTGTGCACGCACACACACACACACACACACACACACACAAAATCTCGAGAGGAGAAGGGTTGCGACATAGCCATTCTCCCATCCCCCGCCCATATAACATGCCAAGGGTGATTTCTTGCTTTCTATCTCTCTGGTGAGCACACACGTCCTGTAGTAAAAATCTGTCTGCTCCTCCCCCACTCCCCTTACAAAGGAACTTGCAAAGATCTGGCAGCTGAATTCTTCCTTTAATGGTTAATGAATAAAATTAATATACAACACTTGGGGTGAATGCTGAAACTCTTCTGGCAAAAACAAACGAAAATGTTTTTCTTCTCCTTTTCCAACTTTTTCCTCCAATCACCCTTACAAATTCTTAATTTAGGGAGCAGCAGTTGGCGTAATGGACAATGGGCTGGTACTTGGTTTTTCTAATTTATGGAACATCAATGCATTTTTAAGGTAATTTTATGGCAAAAGAGCTCTTAGCACAGGTGGGACTAGACTTCACTCTAAGCTTCTCCTTTCTTTGTCATGATGATAGTACAAACTATTTCTTCCACTGCACAATTTAGTATGTTTTTTAAAGATTTATTTATTTAATTTTATTTATTCATTCATTTAATTGGATGAGAGCGAGGGGGGAGGGAGGGAGGGAGGGAGGGAAGGAAGGAAGGAAGGAAGGAAGGAAGGAAGGAAGGAAGGAATTAATTCTTGATTTAGATTATGAGAAAAGTGAAAGAAAAGAGAAATTATGTTATATTTGATATGTTAGTTTTTTTTGTTTTTTTTTTTTTGTATAGGGCATGTGCATTTGCCGGAGATACAGAGAGAGACAGAAAGCAAGAAATCATCCCCTAGAGGGGATGGCCATTCTGCAATTTCTTCTCTTCCATTCTCCTCTTGGGATCTTGGGCACACACGTACATGCGCCTGGTGTGAGTTTTAAGCCATTGTGGTCAGGCCTCAAACCACGGTTGGCCATGTGAGAGCCCCGCAATGTATGCCATCTGCTGGTCCTGACGTGTTAGTTTTACATACAATTTGTTCAAAGGGGCATGCAAGGTTTAAAGTGTGAACCTGCACAATTCTTTAAATAAAAACTTATTTTTCCTCAAAGATTAGTTTGTATCCAGTCTATGAATAACGTGGCCCACTTGTGAAGAGAAAAAGAAATTTGTTTAAATAAATGAATTCAAAATCTCACAGTCCGGGGTTCACTCCAGTTTTCTTTAAGTTAAAGTTAGCTGGTATGCAAAGTTAAATGAAAAGTATTGATTCTTTGTACCTTATAAAATTTTGTGTCTATTATAAGCAAAAACCAGGATGAGCAAAGGCCTAAAAATAACTGTTTCAAGTATTAGATAAAACTATCAAACTTTTTCTCACATCATGAGAACTGACCAAATATTTTTTCTGAAATTCTCTAATGTTAAAACATCAGTGAATCTACAAAGCTTCTTTCTTCTTTTTGCTCTCTTTGAAACATTAGTGGGCTTGCAAATGTCACTTTAGCAAATGAGAACATTTGGCAATAGTTTTACTTAGAACTTGGGATTCTATTAAACAGTTGAAAAGATCTATTGAAACATAATGACCAGCAACTGCTAAAAATCAAAACAAAAGCACTACCCCTGGCATGCCACAGAACTCTTAGGATAAATGAACTCGGGTAAACTCACCATATGTCAGAGTGTAAACTGGCTTCCCTGTCACGTCCAGTGCAGTCAGACAGGAGCATTTGGCCTGCGTGGTGCCCCAGCGCTGCAGGGCAGATTCAAGAGCAGGAGGCCAGTTACAGATGACTCCTAAAGGCTCTCCCTTCACAGGGGTCATCTGCCGTCCCTCAGGCTTGGGCTGGTTGGGGTCTGGCTGAGGTACTGCACCCAAAAACAAAACAAAACAAAACAACACCCAGTGGATGAAGTTAAGTACAAATATCAACTAACCTAACTTGGGTCTCTACTCTCAAATAGATTTTCTTATTCTTTTCCTATTCATCTGGTTTAAACCCACACTGAGAAAAGAAATAGCAATTAGAGGTGATGAGAAATAGTAATTCACCCACTGGTTCTTAATTCAACTTTGCACTTAGTTGTGAAATCACATTTAATATGTTTATGCAACAAATATATCCTGTACATAGAAAAAAGTTAATCACTGCTCATATAGAAAAGCACAAACTATGAAATTTGTTTTGGCAGTTTCAGTTTTTAGTACACTTGTTTTACTGAAACAAGCTTTAGTTTGTTTTACACTGAATACAAACACTGTATTTCACACTGCATTCAGTATAAGAGATTCAGGTTCCACTTCTCCAGGTTATATATAATGAAAGAAGCATTACACTGTCAATCAGAAAACTCAAGTTTACATTCACTTTTTACTGGTATGACTTTAGGCAAACTCATTTCCCTGAGTCCCATTTTCCTCATCTGTAAAATGAGTATTGTAATAGTTACACTCAAGGGTCATCATTAGACTCAAACAGATAATGGGCAAAAATCACAATGTTCCATACCTCCACACCATTGCACACAACTAGTATGGCCAAGAGAGATTTTTGCTATAGAGTGTATACATTTGCCTGAGAGAGAGAGAGACAGACAGACAGAAAGTGAAGAATCACCCCCCAGGGGGATGGCCACACTTCAATCCCTTCTCCTTCATTCTCCTCTTGGGATTTTGAGCATGCATGTACACTCACACGGTGTGAGATTCAAGCTGCTGGGTCTGGGACTTGAACCATGGTCGACTACATGGGAGTCTAGCAATGTAATCATTAGGCCATCTGCTGCTCCCTCCCTGCACTAAGTCTTAAAAGATGGGCAGGAATTAGCCAGGTGAATGAGAGGTAAGAGGCACAGAAGAGCGAAAGGGCAATATGAATAAGTTGGGCAAATGAAATATGAAATGAATTGTGCTTTATAACTCAGTATGATGACAGATTGGGAAACTTACTTGAACTGCCTTGATTCATTATTCTACTGACATAAAACTCATGAATTCACTGCATTAGGTAATAAAGTTTCATCTGCCCTTTTACTTTGTATATTCCCTGACCCTAAGTCATCCAGATTAATTTAAAAAATAAATATGGGTGAGTCTAAATAAACTGTTTTATTTTTCTAGACAGATTATACATGGCAGGAACAGTCTTCTGGCCATAAAAGTCTCTACTACTATCATCCTCTACCAGGCTTCCATGCAGACTCCATGCAAACTGTTCAAGTATGATTCCTATGAAACCCTGATCTTCATTTGCCTGGACAAACATGGTGCTAAGAAGACTGAAGAGGCTGTTACTGGCATAAGCACTTGGATATCAAGGTCTCAAGAAAATGTCCATAGATCAATGTGCTTAGTGACTCCTAATGAAACAAACTCAACTTGTATGCCAGGTTGCTTTTCGCTTCTTGCTGTATAAACTGGGCAAAGAAGTGATCTAGACTGCCAATGTGCCCAAGTTCATGAACAGGTCTGCTATAACAAAACCTACTAGCAGTCTCATAAACTGTTCCCTGGATACTGGGAGCCAAATAGACTACAAAGCAATCGTGGCTTAGTTCTTTGTCAAAGCTTTGTTAGGTAGATTCAGTCATCACCTAGCTTCAAAAATTATCAAAGGTCATTTTCATTTTTTTTTTACTGTCAAATTTTACTTTCTTTCATTCCTGATAGTTGTATGCACGTGAGACAGACACAGAGGAACATCCTCAACAGGATGTTGTCATGCTGTAACTCTCTTTCCCCAGCCCTCCAGCTTGACCAATCTTGGGGATTCATATGCCTGGTGTGTGTGAAGACTAATCCTGGAATCTGAAGCCATAGTAGACCATGTAGCTTCCAGCACAGAAGTTCAGTTTGCTACAGACTGAGTCACAAGGCTGGGCCCTACTCTCATTTTATCTTTACTATCCTTTCTCTCTTTATTACACTCTAGCTATCATATGATTTCATCCATAAATAATCTTAAAATTACTAAATGAATAAATCACTACTACCTTTTTCTCTGTGAAGCTTCCCTTAACCACAAAGATGGAACTGATTTCTTCCCTTCCTTTAGCTGCCTTAGTTTGCTGATAAATGCTACTTGGCTAAACTGTTTGCACATGTATACATTTTAGCACTGGTGTAAACTGCAAACAACATGAAGAAAGCAACATAAATCTTTGAGCCTTTTTCAAGGTCTACCACATTGTCTTGTAGGAGGCAAATATATATGTACTGTCTGGCTAATTTAATAATTATGTTATTTGGGGGGAAATATTGGGCAAAATTTTGAGGTTGAATTTGTCATTCATATGCCAGGGAAATAACACATATAACTTAAGTTTCAGAATTATATATTTGGGATAGTTCCTAAATTCAAATAGCATATTTCCAAGGATAGTTCTATGCTCCACAGCGTCTCTTATTTTTTAATGAATTATTTTAACTTTATTTTTTATTATTGATTTGACCAGATAGAGACAGACAGACAGACAGACAGAAAGTAAGCAGCCAGGGTCAGAACTCAAACCATAGTCAGCCATGTAGGAGGTCCAGTGCCTTTAACCACCATGCCACCAGCCAGCCCCACAGCTGTCTCTCTCTTTCTTTCCCTCCTCCCACTCCTTACTTTTCATCTGAGGTCTAAAATAGAAATGACAAAAGAGCAGAGAACTATAGACTCTTTAAATTAAGAACTATGTCATGTTCATCCTTTAGCCTTACGGAACCTGACATGTAGCAAATGCTTAAGAACGTTTTTGGAATTTTTACTACTACCTTCCACAATTTCTTCAGAGTCATCCACAAAAAATTCCTTTAAGGGAGGCCTTTTCGGTCGTTTCAGAGTGTTGAGAAGTTGCTGTATTTTTGTGGATACTCTGCTGCTGACAGGAACACCTATGGGGGGAAAATGGTAAATTAACATCCATTGATTTTAAGAATATCTCAGTTCCTCAACTGAGGTGCTTTTTTTTAAGAGAGATTTTTGCTATAGGGTGCCTGTGCTCAACAGGAACACACAGAGAAAGAGAGAGAGGAAGTGAGAAATCATCCCCCAGAGGGGATGGTCACACTGCAATCCCTTCTCCATTCTCCTCTCAGGATTTTGGACACACACACACACACACACACACACACACACACACGTGCCCAGTGTTGGTTTTCAAGTCTGAGACTCCAACCTTAGTCAGTCATGTGGAAGTCCAATGTCTTAACCAATACACGACCTGCTGGCCCCAAGAGGTTTTATTTTTAATGATATTTTGACTTTGCCCAAAGTCTCCTTCTATTTCAATTGTGCCAAACAGATACAAATACGTACACAGATAGTTTTATGACAACGGAAAACTAATATGATGCTTTTATTAATACATGCTTAAGGATTTCATCTAATCTCCCCTTTCTCTAATAATTTTCTTTTCTTTTTCCATGCTTGGTTTTTTGTTCAAAGTATCTTTTGGAAATACCGACTGAAGCAAAACAAGAGTCCATGTTGCCACTATCAGACTGGAACAGGGCACTCAAGTGGAGTCGACAATGGGCCAAGTGTAGCATGGTTTTGTAGCTCCTGGGCCAGGGCCACTGTTTACGATGTGAACTTTTCCAGTTTAATTGATACACTCTATTTAGCTGTGAAAGAGAACTGCCTACCATCAGCGGTATCCATAAGGCTGGACCTGTTGGATCCTTTGTGCATGCCTTTAACTATCCCCGAGGGGGGCAGGTCAATATTTGCTGGGCGTATTGAGGAAGATGATGAGGAGGAAGAGGTAGTTGTAGTGACATCGGGGGGAGCAGAGAAGTTCTCTAAGAGGGGAGAAAACAAGATTTAGAATGATATTATATTAGCAGCAAAAGAACTTTAAAATTTTTGTTTTTGTAACAAGAAAGAAAATTATATAAATAGGGCATTTGCTCTTATAAAACAACCTTATAAGTCAAATTCTACTAGCAATATATAATGGGAGAATAAGAAGTTAAGCCCACAATATATTAGCTTCCTGAAATTATTATTTCTTTTCAACACTTGGATATCTTTACAAGCTCAAGTCACACAGTCAATGTTTCTTAAAAACATTATGTATACAGAAAACCTGGCAGAAATCAAAGGTTATAAAAATAATCATAATAAAAGTTCTAAGTGACTTCAAAATGGGAAGCCAAAGTGAGTAAGATCCTAACTGGCTACCAACATTCTAGTCTTTTTTTCAAACATTTCTGCATGATCATGGTATATCTAAAATGTTTCCTCTTCCATTGAAAACCAAAATGATGTCTTGGGAATGGGTTGGATCACTCACATTTCCAGATGAAGTAAAACCAGATAATGTACACTTCTAATTTTTATAAAAATAACCCATAGATAAGTTGGGTCTACTTGACAAATAAGGGTCTTCCATTGCGCTGAGCAGAAATTACAGCGTTACTGTATTCTACTTCAGGTAGGAATTCTTAACAGTAGAGAAACTGAATGGTGTAAGTTGGAAGAAATCCATTCAGCAGGGATGTGCACAAAAAACTTAGAAGAGAACATTTGAAAAAGTAGGAAGGAGGAAATTATAGGAAGTAAATATATGCATTACCAGAATGATGAAAAAAAAAAAAACAGTAAAAACCGTAAAAAGGAAAAAAGTATAATGTAAATAACTGTAAAAATCAATATAGAGATAAAGTCTGTCTATATGCCAGAAGTTTAAAATTACTAGTTTAAAAATAAAATTTAAACTATACTAGCACAAGTATATTGCAGTATATCTTTCTATAGGATAATGTGATAATTAAAACATCAAAATTAATATTTTTATTTGACCCAGCAATTCAGCTAAAAGGAATATATCCTAAGGAAATAATGAGACAAATACATAAATTTGTGTGTTCAAGCATGCTCATTTCAGCAGCTTTTATAAAAGCAAATAAATAAATAAATAAAGATACCATCAAAATGACCAAAATAGGGAAATGCTACATAAACCAAGGGACAATAATAATGGCGTACCTGGAAACCACTAAAATATTAGGATAACTCTTTATAGTGATAAATGCTTGTGAGGCACTGCTTAAAAAAAAAAAAAAAAAAAAAAAAAAAAAAAGGGTTAGAGGGA